GCTTCGTTTGTGTGGGTGTTATGTGATATCTTGAGAGGGTGTTGGTCAGCAGTAGGCACTGCTGCCCTGTTTCAATATATCTATAGTTGACCTGAAGGCATTGGGCAATGAGAGCGGCTATTCATGAAGCTCGTTTTCTCTACCATTCCAAAGAGATCTAGGCCGACGTCGGCTGTGTTCCTTCAGCAGGAGCTCGCTCTAGCTCTTCTTTTACTTCTGCGAACGCTTTAACGATGTCGGCTGCCTTCTTTTCCAGCCACTCCTTCTTTGTTTCCTCGCCCAACTTTCCTTCTCCCATTGCTAGCATGAGCTCTGGGCCATGATGGCCAGCAAAAGCTAGTTGAGGGCGTGTTGGTACAACCCGAAGTCCCATTCTCGATAGACTGTTCTGGGCTTGTTCGCTCGCAAATGTGCCTCCCTGAATGCCGTAGCTAATAATCGCAATAGGCTTTCCCTTCCACTCGTTCATGAGATAGTCGATAGCATTCTTTGTGCCACCAGCCATACCGTAGTTGTATTCGTTAATGACCATCACATAGCCATCGTACTTGGCAATCTCTGCGCTCCAGGCTTTACTATGCTCGTATTGGAATTGTGCTTGGGCCGGTACCATCGCAGGTGCAGGGGCTTCGTTGTATACGGGTAGATTGAATTTGACGAGGTCTACAGTCGTGAGTGTTGCATCACCAAGATCCTTGCTCAGTAGATCTTTGACAAATTCGCCGACGTGAGGACCGACGCGCACTGCGCGGGTTGATGTGACGATAATTGCAATTGATTTCGTCATCTTGATATATTATACTCTGTAGGGTGTCGGTTGTTTTGAAGTCAAAGTTGAGTATTCGAGAGGTGGTATGATGTCCACTTTGGTCGTCAGTTATGTTAAGACTTCGTCTGGTGTTCAAATAGCTCTAAGGGCGCTCATGCAGTGATGCCAGAGGGGGTAGAGATGGCCACCGTTCTTATACTTGGCATCCCGGGTGAAATAGCATGCTATCTTTTTTTCTTATTCGAAATACGCTTGACTCGGAATTCTCTAGAATTGTCCATCTCCAGAATCGGTCGAGAGTTGGTGATAACGTATTGGAAATCATGCCGCGCGGGAAGGTAACCAAGCCATTCTGGACAGGCTTCTAATCAGAAGCGGCCCGCGGCGCTCTCAGCACAGCGGCAAGACCATTAGAAAGCCGGTGCCGCATCCACCTTGGCGAAGCGAGACTGGCGCGCCAGCAGATATTCAAATCAAGGCAGGGCGAGCCGAGAGGATGACTACACATTTGTCTCAAAACGGAAAGGCGAGACGAGCTCCGGCTTAACTCCGACGGTAAGTCACGCCCTGAGGGGAATCGCACACGGGGCAACAGGTTACTCACATTTGCGCATTAATAAATCATACTTTTATGGCAATGATTGCCCGTCCCATCAATAATCCTTCAATAGAGCGCATATTGACTGGTTTCTCATACCGCTGACAAAGCGGTATTGCAGATAACCTGAAGCTCGGGACTACGCTCATGGGATGGCGACCGCATCTTTGTTAAGGCACGTAGATTATCAGTAATCTAACCGAGAACCAAAGCAGTAATACTTACATTGTAAAGGCGAAGGAGCAGGCAGGATACTGGCCCAGGTTTCATCTTGTAGTAAGATAGTAGCGATAGCTTTTGCTACTCTTCTAGCCTCTATAGACCTATCTATATTCTTTTCCTATAGACTTTTAGCAGTAGCTAAAGCTTTAATTATATTATCTTATCTTTAGATAGTTGATAAGTTCCTAGCCTTGACTTATTGATTATCTAGTCTGTTTAATATAAAGTAGAGTATTATAATCGCCTATAGAAATTCTTGATTGAGTAAAGTTGCTACCTTCTAGCAAATGTCAAACAGTAGTTTATCAAGTTAAATCTCTTTGCTTATTCTTTGCTAATATTCAAAAACAGTTAGAATGGCTTGAATATATATTTCGTTAGATATTATATTTTCTATTTTACTAAAGCTTTTTATAAAGCTATATCTATATAAAAGATAAGTTATCTTATATATAAATATATTTAAAGATATTTAATATTATATAATCATAAGATTATCTATAATAAAGAAGATTATAAATAACTTATATCTTATAAACTTAGATATAATATTAATTATACTTTATAGTTTTATATTTAGCTTTAAGATAGCTTCAAAAGCTAGTAGACCTACTTTAGTTATATTATAAATCTTAACAGTAACTTTAATAATTTTATACCTTTAAATTATATATAAAAGAAAAGTTAAATCTATCAATAGTTGCTTAGATAGTATTTTATCATCTTCTATACTAATATTATAATCAAAGAAGTGACTTAAAGAATATATATTATATTAAAAATCCTTAATAACTTACAAAGGTCTAACTTATATGCTTATGAAAAAGTTTATTTAATAGAGAATCATCTAAAACTAACGCTAAAGCTTTATTTATAATGGTCGGATATTTAACTAGTAGGAGAAATTATAATAAAGCCTTATATATAAAACTAGCTAAATGACGATACTAATTAAAATCTAATTGTCGACTAATATATTAAAATTAAGGTTCTAATTAACTATAAAGTATAAAGTCAAAGTTTTAATTATATATCTACTTAATTAAAGATAATCTTTTATAATCAAACATTAAATTATAAGGTTTCGATATATTTCTAACATATTCTATAATGCTAAGCTACTAACATTCTACCACTAAAGAAGTATAGATATAGTTATAATATTAAATAAGAGTCTTATCTAAGTTATTAAAATAGCTGCCAAATTATCTTAAAATTTTATATACTAATATAAGTAAGTATTTTAAAATAAAAAAACAACTAGATAAGTATTAACCTTTACAAAAAACGTTTTTCTATAAATGATAACTATCGAATCTTATAGTTATATTAGAATTAGAATAATTATTATCAGTAATAAAGACTTATAAATAAGCAACTTATATAATCTTATATTAAAAGTATTAAAGAACTAGAAGATAAATCTATCAACCATTTTATAAGATAGTATTTAAGCTAGAATCTAGTCTTTCGAAAGATAAAGTATATTATTAAGTAAAGCAGTCTTAAGTGCTGATAAAGTATCTATTATCTCTAGATAAAAGGTCTTTATTAAGAATAATTGCTTTTATAAAAGCTTATCTTTTAAATATTAAATTTATAAGTATAGTTAGATATATATAGTAAGTATTTATTGATTTTATAAAAGGCGTATATCTTCTAAAATTATAACCTAATAAAAGCTTTCAATATAGACAACCTGTCACAGGTTGCGAACCCTACATAATGGCTTCAGCACCTTTCAGCCTT